GCTGCCCCGTCCCCTCCCTTATTCCCCTCCCCTCCCCTCCCCTGACCCTCTTCTCTTCCCATCTGTCCCCCTGTTCCTCTCCGGTCTCCTTCCCTCTCTGACCTTCCCCCCCATCTTCCTCTCCTGCCCCATCTCCTTCCCCCTTCCCCCATCTCTTCTTCTTCTCCTGTCCCCTTCACCATCTGACCCCCCTCTTCTTCCCCTTCCCCTGAGACCCTCTTCCTCTCCACCCTTCCCTCCTGAACCCCATCTGATATCCCCCCTTCTTCTCCGACTCCTGTCCCCCCACTCCTCCCCTGCTGCTTCCCCCACCCCACAGCCGCCCCTGGTCTCTGGGGGGCAGCAGGCGGGCAGGGGACCGAGAGCCGCAGCAGCTGGGCCTGGGAGCTTTCAGCTGCCTTCTGACTTCCCCATGGGGGTGACACCAATTCTCAGCAGCCGAGCGGCTGGAGCCCGGGTGCCGACCCAAGGGGACACCGGGGACCTGGTGGTTCAAGCCGGGTTCAAGCGGTTCAAGCTCCCTGTGCCCAAAGCAGGGGGTGGGGATGAAACTGAGGCAAGGGACCGGCTCGGGGCAGCTACAGGGATGCACGGTGAGGAGCTCAGATTTGGGGTCCGGTCCCAGTTCTGCCATGGGGTGTGCATGGTGGGGGGTGGGGGGATGTGGGATTGTGTCTGCGTCAGGTGCTTAATAATGCCCCATAGCCCCTGGGTCTTCCTGTCAGCAGCTCTTGAAGTGCTCTGCAAAAGAAATTGGGATCATTAACCCCATGGCACAGATGGGGACACTTTCCTGCTGAGCTCTGGGACGCCAGCCCGGGGCAGAGATGGCAGAGAGCGCATGCTGCAAGCTTGTCGAGTATTTGAACGATCTAGAAGCGCAGGAGTTCAAGTTTCACCTGGAGAACTATCCCCTGGAAGACGGCTACAAGCACATCCCCCGCTCCAAGATGGAGGCAGCCGATGCCATGGACATAGCTCGAGCCATGGTCCAAACTTACCAGGAATCCAGGGCTCTGCAGATGGCGGTGAAGATATTGGACGGCATTAGCCAGAAGGATCTGTCGCTAAGGATCCAAAACGACATGCCAGAGGGTGAGTAGATGGAGGAGATCCCCCTCATTTCCTCCTACAGTCTGACTCATTCCTTGCTGGAGCTTTTTTGATAAATGGGAGGGGGGTCACCCCCCTGGTGTGCCTCAGTTTCCCCCAGTCCAACAAGGGTGGCCTAGGGGCTAGCGCACAGAGCTGGCACTCAGTGGACCGGGGTTTCATGCCCAGCTCTGCTGCTGGGTGATCCCAGACAAATCGCAGCTCCTCCCACTCTCCCTGCCTCAGTTTCCCCATCTAAAAAATGTCTGCAAGGGATGCTGGCCTCCCCTCTAAAGTGCTTTGCCTCTACGGATGGAAAGCACTAAGGCATGGAGAGGCTGCAGCTACATCTGTGCTACTGAGCCTCGTGTAGACGCCGTGGCCGCTCTGTCTCACTGCAGGGGCTGCCCCTCTCCCGCTGGGGTATAAACGCTTCCTACATCAGTGGAAGGGGTTTTCCCGTCCTCTCTCTGAGAGACAGTAGCAAGGTTGACGGAGGAATCCGTTCACCTAGCCACAGCGATGCTGGGGATGAGGGCAACCCATCTCCGGCGCTCGGAGCATGACATTTTTCACCTCCCGAAAAACACGGCGGGGGCGATCTCATTTTGCAGCTAGACCAGATGCTCTCTGCTGTCAGCACTGGGGGCTTTGCTGGCCTGGCTCTGTCGATCCCGGGGGGCAGTTGTTCCCTCCCCGCAGCTACATCGGGAGGCATTTGACGGGTAGGCCAGGTGCAAGCAGCTTGTCCCAGGTCGCCCGGGGTGTCTGTGGCAAAGCAGCAGATCAAACCCAGGGCTTCCAAATGCCAGGCCAGTGTCCTAAGCCCCTGCCCTTTTTTCACAGAAAGGATGTGGATACATTGCAGAGGAGTCAGAGAAGAGCTACGAGAATGATTAAAGGATTAGAAAACCTGCCTGACAGTGACAGACTCCAGGAACTCGATCGAGTTAGTTAAAGCAAGAGAAGGTTCAGGGGGGACTTGATCCCAGTCTATGGGTATGTCTACACTATGAAATTAGGTCAAATTTATAGAAGTCGTTTTTTTAGAAATCAAAATGAATTCTGCCAGAGACCTCCCTAGGCCAATCTAATTCACGGGGGAGGCACTCAGATGTGTGGGGATGGGCAACAGGATCAGAGCTTGGGAGAGACAGAGAGAAAAGTGCAAAGCCAAATTCCTCCTGATACTTCAGCTGGACAAACAAGGCCCTGCAGCATGTCTGAGGAAACCATGTCTGCTCCTGGAGCCTAATATGGAGGCCCATCAGCAGACAAGGTAAGTGCTGCGCTGCCA